ATGAAGATGTTATGAAGCCTAAGTAAAGCATTAAGGATTTTAAATAAAAATAACATTCTAACAAATGCATTCTACTTTTGATAAAAGAAATCTTTCAGATTAAATGTTACGTTGCAAATATTTATGTCCATATGTGGTTCCCAGGCTTTGCAGTTTAGATTATAAAAGCTTTTGAAATAGTATCTATTGTTTGTTCAGCATTAGAATGTGAAATAATTTGACCATACTGTAACTGGCGGAGAATGCAATATTGGGAGGATTATTAAGCACTGAGGAGCTGTAAAACAAATTAACTTGAAGTTATTCATTACCGATGTATAGTGGGATAGCCCTTCTGTGGCACTGACCACGCCCATTGGGGGGTGGAACCATGGGCGGGGTGACCTGTGGAAAGAGGTTGGAGGGAGAGCGAGGACAAGCTCTCTTGCTGGTGTGACTGGGACAGGAGAGGATCGGGTTGAATTTCCTGGTGTTCATCTGTCTAGGTTGTAAGTTCTTTTTCCCTGAATAAACATCTATTCGGCCTATTTGTTTATCCTGATCCTTATTGGTCAGTGCCACAGAAGGACTATCCCACTACATTGATGTTTTAAGATTCAGTCTGATTTCCATTTTTAACCATATTTACCTGTCCTAAATCTCCTAGGTGGCATCTGTTGAGAAACATATAAGAAGGGCACATAAAAAAATAATAGCTTCTTTGAATATGAGTCACAAACATTCAGCTCTCCTGAAGCTAGAATTACAGATGGTGGTGACCATCTCATAATGCTGCTGGGAACTGAACTTGGGTCCTCTGGAAGAGCAGCAAGAGCTCTTAACTGTTGAACCATCTCTTTGGCCCCACTAAAGGGGCTTAAGTAATAAGAATATTAAGGAGCAGCATAAATGTACATAACCATACTATTCTCGTTCTTGGAGTTCACTTATCTATGTTTTTAACCTAAGCCCTTTCAGAAAAGGTGGACCTGCATTTTCTCTCAATTGGTTCATCCAGTGTTCCAAAAGTAGAAAATGTTTATTGAAAATTCTGTTGGAATTTGACCTAAATTTGAGTTCCTCTGTAAGTTTTGTAAATTATTTCTTAGTAAAGTTACAAACATAATACTCAGTTGTCATTTTGAGTTCTTGTGGACATGGTTGTGTTATGGAAGTAAATATGTCTGGCCCTTCTCCGTTTCCACTTTCCACAAGACAATGGACCATCTGTGAGGTATGAGGAACTAACTGCACGTTTAAAGAGACTAATTTCTTCCACTCATGTAATAGAAAAACTATAAAGTGAATGTCAAACTGCTTTTTCAGTTTTTCCTCAAAATAATTGATCTAAAGTTCAGAAAGGACCATGAAAGGCAAACAATGATATTTTTGTAAAGAAAGTGCATTAAAAACAATTTTATTAAATATTTCTAGCCACATCATGTCTTCTCTTAGTAATTAGTATATCAAAGTATGGTAAAACCACAGATTTTTTAAATCTGATTATGTATGTATGCATGCATGCATCTATTTATTGATGCAAGGAAGTTTGTTTCATGTAGTTCAGGGATATGGTCTTTTGTAGCACACACAATGTGATGGTTCTATCCCCATCACTACAGGAAGGAAAAGGTTAAAGCACGAACATTGGAAAAGAGAAGAATGAATGCCAAATATTTTAGAACACATGATTTTTGTAACATCTACTTCTTTACTTCTTCCCATAGTAATTTAAGATTATTGAACAGTTCTTTTTACCTCTGATCCTCTAATGGTGTTTGCATTAGGGATATTGAACTTGGATTGTGTGTCTTTAGTGTCTATGTGGTCATTCAGGTCTCAGTACATGAATTATTGACTTTGAAACCAGGGGTCCCTGACTCCTATAGATTATGACATTAAGGAGGAGCTTAAGGTTTTCCCCAATAGTTAATGAAGTTTCATGAACTCTGAAGATTGTCTAGAATATTCCATTTCTTTATTTGACTTCTCAATCAATAGTAAAAAAATGCTATTTTAGTTTTTAGTTCTCTTGTATGGTAACATGGACAAATAGTTAAATAAAAGTATTGTTACAAAGAAAGTGCTTATTCTTTATCTGGCTTTACATGGTTGTTATGAAACTTAGAAATGAAAGTTAACAACATGCCTTCAACATTATTTTTCATGTGACAAAATGAAAGTATATCACGAAGTATGCTTCAAACCTAATAACTTGCATCAATGAAACTGTCACATTTTATTACATTTTAAATCTATGTATAAACAATGTATAAGCAATGGCAGGCTGAAAGGTCGCCCAGGAAATAACTACTGGAACTTCCACAGCAAGAAGCTGAAGGCAACCTGGACCGATGACTCTCTTTGGTTTTTCCCTGTTTGCTGCTTTTATCCATGTTTTTTTCACTGAGTTCTTCTGAAAGGCCATGGACAGGTTTCTGGGAGACTCAACATCTGGCAGTCAGCTACTGGCTAGAGAGGTTAGACATAATTATACCTCACTATGACTCCAGTATGTTTCCTTCCAGAAGCATAAATTCAGACCTAGGTTATGCCTAGTTGGGCAAGGGCCAGAGGAATTCAGACCATAGAGTACAGATGCATAAGACAGCAAAAACTCTGTTCACTCCAGATATTTTGCCTGAAAGAACCCTTTTACAAGCTGTGAGGTCTGACTGATATGTGAGCAGAAGGCAGTGGCTGAATCATTCTCACCTAGAACAGTACCATGCATGGAGCTCTCAGTACACTAGAGAGTGAGTTAGAACACTAGACAAGATCTGTAACTGGCCGGCCTATAAGTAAGTATTCCTAAACTAGTATGTATTCATTTCACTGTTTTATGTTTAAATGAAGACCTAGACAATGATTTTTACATGCAAAGAGAACTGGGCATAAGAGCTAGTTTTAAAAGATTTAGAAACCACAAAAACAGAAAATTTCCAACCAATAAGATGAGGTTGAATTACTTATATTTCCAATTCTAGGATCTTAATTTGTAGCTAGACATTTCAGGCTCAAATACAATATGCTAGTAAATTGTTTTAGTAAAATATGTGCAGTTATAATTTGAAGAACTATTTTCTGATAAATAGTATCCCAAACATTCGCTGGCCTCATTAGAATCTCTCTCTCTCTCTCTCTCTCTCTCTCTCTCTCTCTCTCTCTCTCTCTCTCTCTTCTGTCTCTCTCCCAAACTGTGTCTTCAAAGAAAATCCATGACTAGGAAACGATTCTTTGGTGCAGAGACATATATACTGAAGTATTTTTAGTTGCCTTTAATGTATTCTACTCCCTATTTTTACTAATTCTAGCTAGTTTACCAATATCAAAGCACATGAAAATTCTTTATACAGTTCAATTAGTCATATTGGATAATTTATATAAGACCTCATGATTTTAAAGATCAGTAGCAAATAAAGAAATGAACATGCATGCTTAATAAGCTTTATTGAAGACCCTTGAGCATTGATTTGATTTAAATACTCAGAGTAGGTCCTGGCTTCTAGTATCAGTATCAATAGAAAAAAAAAAAGTGATAGTATTCATTCATTCAAAACATCTCTATTAAGTGACTAATACATGCCGGTATCCTCATCCTACTTCAGTCCACTGTTGGACTTGTTGCTCATTGCTGAGAGAAATATTTCAGAAACTATTAAAAGCAGACTGGCCAGGATGGAATAATTCAAATATGGGAAAAACTCAGCAGGGAATCTAATATTTAGGGTTATGCGGATGGTACTGAGGGGGGGGGCTGTTCTGATAAACAAGTCCCTCCTCTTAGGCTTTCCCTGTGAGGTGACCATGTTTTTGGTCCTAAGGCCAGGCCAGTACAGAAAGAAATTGTGGGTCTGCCCTTGGAGAGTTCTTCCCATAGCTTCCCCTTTTTATTCCCTCCTCTGCCTCTTTCATTCAAATTCAGTGCTGAATTTGCTGGAAAAGCAAATGATATCTTAGCTTCAGCTGCCATGCTTTCTCCCTCTCTCATTCCCTCACAGTGCAACTCTGTTCTTGAAGAGAACTCTGCTAGGGACTCCTCTGTGAGTCCTTAGCAGGCTCTGCACTTCTGAGAAGCCTTCCACTTTTCAGCCCTTCAATCAGAATTTACCTATAAGACAAGGATTGTGAACTTTAGGGTCCATCTACACCAGTTTCTTGACTTCCTTAGTCTCTTGCTTAATATAATAATAATAATAATAATAATAATAATAATAATAATAATAATAATAATAATAAATACCTTTGGGATCAGGCAACACAAAGCCCACTGATTCCAAGCCTGCCTTAGGAAGCAAGGTTTTGCAGAGGGATAAGGTTACTGCTACCAGTCCAGGACTCAAGCCTTGCGGCCAGTGAAACGTGGGCCTCCTCCCCTCCTCCCCCACCGGCCTTCTAGGGACCAGGGCCTCCCAGACCGATGCAAGTAGAGTATCTATTGAATACAGAATCTCCTCAAACACTCCGTGGCTCCTCAGCTATTCCTTTCATTCTCAAAGTGCAGTAGCCAAGCACTGGTCCCGCCTAACTCCCTCCCATTTCTTTTCTGGGATTTGGGGACAGAACGGGAGTGGGAGGAGAGGCAAGATAGGGTGGGGGGTGGCCGGTGGGCTGGGCCTGCATAAGTCTGGATCCTCCTGCTAGAGACTGGGCGGGCTCGGAGCTGCGGGGAAGCATGTGATTGGGTGTGACCTTCAGTCTGCTTGTCAGTTTCGCGGGCACACTGGGGGCGGGGGAGGGGGAGGGGAAGGAGGAGGGGGCTGCCTGCGCCTCTTGTCCAGCCCACCGACAGCATGAAACCTTTAGGGGTGCTCAGTGCTTTCGGTTCTTTCCTTGAAACCTCTCATCTGCCCTCAGTCTGAAGAAAGGGCTAGGTATAGGACGGATCTCAGGGTCCCAGTCTACGGGGCCCGAGAGAGAGGAGGGGGCGAGAGACAGGAAGGAAGCAAACCATCAAATTAAAAAAAAAAATAAATAAAGATAGAGCCCTTTGACTTTATTTTATTTTATTTTATTTTATTTTATTTTAACTCCCTCTCCTTTCCGGATGGCTGTGTAGCAAACGTAGGCGACACCTTGGAAGGAACGAAGTTGGTCTGCAGTGGCAATTTCGTGGGTTCATAGTTTTGACCGCCGGGCTTGGAGATGGAGCCCTGGTCCAGGTGGAAAATGAAACGTTGGGTCTGGAATCTCACCGTCTCAACCCTCGCCTTGACTTTCCTCTTCCAAGCCAAAGAGGTCAGAGGAGGTAAGGAGGGAAACAAAATAATAAAGTTTGGGGAGGTGGGACACTACTACCCGGCTTTCTTCGTTTTGTGCCCTTCCCCCTTGTCTTCGCCCTACTCCTTTTAAATAAAATCCAGATTGTAGCTGCTACCAGGTTAGGAGAGGAAACTGGAGAGACAGCAAGATGGATGTAGGCGGGACAGTAATGGGAGAGGAGGTAGGTGGCAGGATTAAAAGATCTGTCAGGCACACAGCAGGCTGAGAAAGCCCTGCATCCCTTTCCACTTACTTTGCAAAATGGAAAAAGAAATATTACTTTGAACAGGAGGGCAGTCGTACAAAGCTTTTGTTCCGGGAACAGTCTTTATTCAGAGTACTCTGCCCTTTGAACAACTCATTGGGTTTCTCTAGGTTCTAATGGGGATATCTTTTGAAGGGTGAACTGAGGAGAAAATATAGAGAAAGAGTATAAAGTGAACTGTGATAAACTTCTTTGTCTGCGAGGAAGTAAGAAACGGGCTGTTTTTACTTTGGAGGATATGAGAGAAACCAGGGGATGAATTTAGAATATTGAGAGCACTTTGTGTGTGGCATTTTGAAATGCTTCTCAGTGAAATAATTTTCACAGATGATAAGTGAAGTTCAGAACAGCGCGCGTGTGTGCTTGTGGGGGGGGGCTTTCCCCTGATGTTTAGCCTCCTCCTACTCTCCATGACCCCCTCACCTTCACTGGTCCCTTGCCCCCACAAACAGCTTCTTCTTGCAGGTTGGACATTCAAATGTCTTGGAGGGTGACGAAAGTCTTCAAGCAAATAGGGTGGGAGGCAGACGAATACAGACTGGGAAGAAGAGAAGGGGCCTGGGATGGGAGGAGGGAGGTAAGGAGAAGTTCCTACGTGGCACCACCAAATATTGAATGGCCAGACCTGTGTAGCTTCGCTGTAGCCCTGTCAGTACCAGAGGAGGGAGAGCGACTTCACTCCTCCCACCGCTTCCTCCCTCCCCTGCCCCCGCCCTTTCCCTAAAAGGCATCTGGCTGCAGCGGTCCCTTAGGTGCTGTAGACTCGGCTGGCAGGAGAAAGCCTTTGGAGTAGGGGAGTCAGAGCAATTCACAGTAGAAAGCAAGCTTTGTCAGGAGTGCAGAGAGAAGCTGGGGAATGGGAAGGAGAGGAGCGGAGAACAGAAAAAAATGTCAATCCAACTCTGAACCGGCAAATTTAGAAGAAACCTGAACCTGGCCTTCGGTCTTGTTACCCAGATCTGAGAGTTCCCTAAAGAGAGTTAGCTCTCCAGGAGGCCCAGCCCTAACCTTGGCTCAGATGCTTGGAGACTTTATGCTCCCAGGAGCAAGTAGCTTCTCACTCAGCACTGATGGCCCTATGGTCACTGTGGAACTCCGTTCGAATTTCGCGTTGATATAGGTTATTTACTTTGTTTTTCAAGGACAAACATAAGTGTCTTTGAAAGTAGACTACATCAAAAAGTTTGCATTTTACCTTTGGTACTTTGCTGCCTGTTGAGTTGACTAGCAGTTCTGCCCTCTGCTGGTTTTCTTTAGTATTCAAAATTCAAGCGTCAGCCCCAGCAAAGGAAAGTCTATTACTTAGTAATACTGAAAAATGGCACTTGCCTAAGGGAGAATAGGTTGCTATTTCATCTCAGTTTCTTATATACAAGTGTTGACACGAATATACTAGTGACAGTTATGTAAAAGTACAGAATCTGAGACACTCTGCAATAATTACCAGTATTATGGTTACCTGAATGCATTACTCACCTGAAGATATTTATTTTTCTTATCCATATTGGGATTTCCAGTCAGTCAAATTTCTATGCTTTTAGACCATAGTTTTCTATTTTCCTATTAACTGTAGCTCACAAAAATACCTTTAGAAAGTATCTCAGAACCACACCACATACTTTGCAGATAGTAATGTTTCTGTGTTTATAGAGAATGAGAGAAACAGCGAAGCTTAGAGTCAGATGTTATTCCTGATGAAATATTTTGAAAATATTATAAGCCATTAGATAGTTACAAGGAAAGATTTCAGTATTTACATTTCTGAAGTTGCTAGGTTCTTGTTACTAACTGGAAAGCTACTTATCCATTAATCTAGTCTTGTTGGCATTCATTTTTTACACCTATTAAAATTCAAAATAAGAAATAATGCTTAAAAGAGAAAGACCATCATCAAATCCCCAATCACAGAAGAAGGGTAAAGTGAAGTCCTCCTCCAGGTCTAAAGTCAGCATTTAGAATTGTAGCTGGGAGACTGAGTAAAATTTATCATCATTTTCTAGATGGACGTATTATTTTAGTATCATCCCTACTTAACGGATTTCACAAAGGTATGAGTCTATGCTTCAGTTGCCAAATCAGAAGATAATTTAAAATGAGCTGATATTTACATAAACTGGAACATTATAACAATTTGCACAAGGAAGTTTTGGTGGTTTTTGGAAGTGAATAGATTAATGAAATTGATTTCACATAGCACTTTACTTTGAAAATCTAAAGTAATTTTAAACTGTTTAACATACAATCTCTACTATGACATTACACACATATACCTCCCCCCCCCACACACTTATTTAATGGGTATCCATTGGCATTAGTGTTTGTTTTATGTTTGGTATATTTGCTATGTTTCACCTCAGGACTTCATGGATTCTGTATTTGGGTAAATTAGTTTATAACTTACTATAAAAAGGAACTGTGATTAATTTGAAATTTATGCTGTGCTATGCCTATGTTGAAATACACTCCATATTGTTTGTATTTTAAATCACAGCCTCAGAAAGAGCTGGCTATAATTGAATAATATGACTGTAAAATATTTATTTAGATGAAGTTAAAAAAAAAAACTAATTGTAATGGTCTTCTTGCTTGGGCTGTCCAGCGAAATGAGTCCTGTAGACTGTTGGTGTATTCTAAGAGGGATTTTAATGGCTGGCCAGCACTGGGTAGTAAGTATTGCAGAGGAACAGCTGTTTGAGTGCCCGGGATCAGCAGGTGAAATGGTGCTGGCTCCCTGATTGTGTGATAATCAGCCTGTGAGGAGCTCAAGCTTGTCTTTCTACTTACTTAATTAGAGTAAGTTAAAATATCTGTTATGCTCTTGCTAATACGTGCAGTGTTTGGTAGAATAATTAATATTGTGTCTTTCCATAAAATAAAAGAGCTCATGAATAAAACCTCTTTTGCATGGATTATATGTCAAGGATTAGTTGTTGTGGTGAATATTTAGTTAGCAAGGACACTTTCATCATATGTCTATTTGGTTAACTATCATAATGTGTAATTTGCATTTGTTTGAAACAATTTTATTAAGCAGACAAATTAAAACTATATGTACAAAGACAGCATCATTGCTCACTGTTTGAATTTTTTGAATTGTGAGTAAAATAAAAGGTCAACATTTTTTAAATTATCCTTTTTGTATTGTGTGGGTTGAATTTACTTTTTGTTATTTTTGGAGATTGATTTTACTCATGTTAATTTCTTAAGGCTTTAGTTTACTCATCATTGTGTATTACAAAAATAATAAGTATTTATTATTTAAATACTTAAGTATTATTAAGTATTTAAGAATATTTTTAACAGGCCAATTCATTTAAAGTACTCAAATAAATTTCTCTCTTGAGGATTCTAGAGTTAGAACCTACAGTAAGTGCTAATTTCTCCTACTTTTTCATTTTAGTAAAGAGGAAATGAGGCACAAATGGTGTTACTTAAATAATTCTTATAAAACATTATATATAGAATAAGGTTTTGTGAGTGTGTAGGGTGTTCTACAATATTGATATGAATCATCTTACTATATCCCAATTAAATGGAATGGCCAAGTATATGTGATATGCTGGAGTTTTAGTTAATAAGAAGGCAGTTTATATGATATTTTAAAGAAAATCAAGTCGAAGGGTATGCATTTCAAAATTTTTATTTCTTTTTAAGTTTGGAGAAAGGCAATATCTCATCATTTGATCCTGCTTGCACTGCTAATATACCCAGTGAACTTGATTTCAAATCACTTGGATTGGAGTAGAAAGAATAACTTTAAAAAAATAATGTGTACAACTGTTGATGGTTGAGGACAAAGTGTTTAATAATAGTATTGGAAATAATAGCAATAGAAGTACAATTTAAAAATTTAAATAATCCAAGGAAATTACATGTATGCCTATGTATTGGCTATATTATGAATATACATATATTTCAAATGAAGAAATGCCATATTTGTTCTTTCCATAACAATTCTGATCAGATGATATGTATTAAACTCATTATAAGGTTATTATTCATAGGTCAGAATAATTATGTTTTACTTCATATGTGTTGCCATTCTTTTTCTAGACAATTGAGTTTTAAAAAAATGAGGAACTATATTAGTTTAGTTTCAAATTAAAGTTTTTTATTTTTGATTGATAAATTGAAATAATCTTTAAATTAGGAATAAGTGCGCAATTAATTAAGGAAGGGCTCAGTCTGAGTGGGTGGCCATGGTGTCTGTTATACTGTGGACTTCTAGTGTCACATTAGTAATTGTTGGGAAGTAGGGGAAGAAACTTTCAATTTTGTACTAAAATATTAATTTCTAGAAATAGTATTTTAGAGCTAGTATGCTTTTTGAAATAAGAGCCATTCATTTTCTTTTTTTTTCAGGAGTCAATGTTCCTAGGAGCCTGAGGCTGCTTCTATGGATTCACCATGCATCCTCTTAATAGTGTTTAATAGTGCATACATATATGAATGCTATAAATAATCAGTCATATCCATAACTGAAAATAATTTTGAATGATATATTGTTAGGTAATTCAAAGGCAGATTTTTATCATATCCAAAGTATGCCCTTCTTCTACCACTCACCTATGCAGAAGTAATTAAGGGCAGTTAGTACAATCATTAGGAATTGAAGCTGAGGGTTGGGCTGCAGATGTCCTCCTATTTCTTTCCATCTCTCATTTAATACTGGGGATATTTGATCTAGGTTGAAGTGGTGAGAGGAAACTAATTTCCTTCCT